ACCTTAACCAGGAGCTCAGAAATGGTGTTTGGCTTCATTACAGCAGCTTTGGTCCCCATGAGGTTTATACTGTGTCAATGTTTATGGTGGAAAAGGTCCCAAGGAGGTAAAAAAAACAAAACAAGTATGCGTGCACACACGCACTAACGCACATAATGGGGACATACAAATTGCACATTCAGCAAAACACACCCACATAGGAATATTCACACGCTCGACAGACAACGTGTCAGATTCATGACACAACAGTTCAAACTTTACACTGACACAAGAACTTTTCTTCTGTTTATTCAATAATCACCACGTTGATAAAATCAGTGACCTAGAATTCAACAGTTTCAGTGTTAGTTTATGAGATTAGTTCATTTTTCATTTCAGCACTGAGCAGGGTATTCTTCAACCTCTGTCTGTGTGTGTTGGGACAAAAGTATTTAAAGTATTTCATGAAACGTTTGTTTTGGTTTGAGAAGTTGGTTCTAGTGCAACATTTACTGATGGTAAAGATTGTATATATATATTTAAATATGACTATAGTTATCAACTGAAAATGAGTTTCTTCTTTCCATTCACTCGACCACAGTGAGCTCCAACAGAGGTCAAAGGTGACAGCATTTTTCAAGGACATCTGTACAGAAGTTATTAAAGGAGGAGGAGGATGTTTCTCTAAAACCAGTTTCTCTGTTTCAGTATTTATAAGTGGTTATTGTGCACCATGATCTTTATGATCTTTGCCATTGATCTGATCCTGTGGGTAATCACTGTACCGTCTCACCGACACTGCTCTGAGCAAAGAGAGGCTGAAAATGAAATCCAATCTCAGAGGTTGTGTTTGAGATAACAACTCAGAGATAAAAGTTTAATGCGATTTTTTACTGTGAAATCTTTGCAACCCAGACGACCATGAACTTTGCAACCCCCCCCCCCCTGACAAACAGACTCACTGAACTGGAGCTTTTTAAATATATTGAATGAAAGTGGCGGTGGAGAGAGAGAATTTGCATAGACAGGTTTTCTCTGACCTCACAGACAAAAAATGTACCTTTGCAGTTATTGCAGCACAATGTTTCCCTTTAACTGTATAACACTGATATTGCACAACATTAAGCCATCAGTATTTGGCACTGTGAGATTTCAGATCCTCTTGTTTCTGTCAATAGTAGAACGCAGTACACACAGTCAGGAATAGGTGACGGGCTCAATAACATCATCATTTTATTTCCTTCACTGACCTTTTTCATTTTCAAGCTCATTGACTCACAATGTTTTACAAATTGGAGCCGAAACAGAGCAAATGTTTTGTCACCTGGGGACCGGCATTATTTCAAACATGACGAAAACTGCCTAAATCCACGTCTGTAAAGTTCTAGGAGTTTTTTTGGGACTGCCTTTCAATTGGTGTAGGTTCCCTGGAGAACGGTGGAGGTACAAGACCAGACTGGATAAATGTGTCATTTGTTGTGGACCCTGAGTTTGTCGTTGCAGCTGAGACTTAATCTATTCCTACAGTTGGGTCATTGAGTTGTCGTCAGTGTTTAATGCCAGCATCAGATCCGACTGATTGCCAGACTTATAAATGGGCCGCACATGATATTGGTTGTTGTTGTGCAGTCATTTGGATGATACATTCAAAACAGTGTGATTGTTTGTTGCTCAATCACCAGTCACACTGAGGAGTATCTACTGTGTATGTCCTTTCTAATGTGGTGTTTGTATGTGTTTGTTGGACGGAAATCGTTCACTGCTGAGAGGAATACAAATGAATGAGTTACATCAGGATGTGTGCAAGTGTGGTTCTAAAGATCGTCCTCTCTGCCTGTGTTCCTGCTGCCGTCCACACTGAGTGATTAGGTTCATTTGTTGGGCTAAATGTCAGCATCAGACCAGACACAGGACTGTGTAGCAGACTGATAAAGGACCAGTACCCTCCCACACAATATTGGATCCGCCGACACAGTCACTGTGTCTCAGAGAGAGAGAGAGAGAGAGAGAGAGAGAGAGAGAGAGAAAAGAAGCATAGATAATATATCTGATGCAGACTGAGGAGGCTCATGGATTTACTAATAATCTTTCTGCTCCATGATTTCTGATATATCACACACACACACACACACACACACACACACACACACACACACACACACACACACACACACACACACACACACACACACACACACACAAAAGACTCCAAGACTCCATGTTTTCAATGGTGAATCTGAGAGTTTTGTTTTTGTTTAGTCCTTGAATATGTGTTGAAAAAAAAAAAAAAAAGTTTTATCAGGAACAAGCAAATAGTAAAACAACATAAATAGAAACATACATTTCTGTGAATGTATGTGTGTTACATTATTTTACAGGTTGCCTTTGGTTTATTTAATATGAATGAATATAACTCAAATTAAACAGGAAATTTAGAATAAACTGTTTTTAAAGTTGTTAAATAATGTTTTATTTAAATTGTTTATATCACTGCATCAAATAGTAACTCTGTTATATTGCGATTTTTATTATTTCTTTAAATTATATTCAGCTTCCTGACTCAAACCTCATACATCATATTGAACCTTTACAGTCAAGACTCAGCTTTCTATATATTATAAAGCAAAAACTGAAATGTGATTATTACTGAGCTAATGCTTTTGATCCCTGTCACTAGACTAATGGTAAATGTTGTCGGGTCAGATGTGGTGTGTATTGCTTCACTCCCCCCCCCACTGATTCCAATCTAAAATCGATTGTCAAGCATTGTCAACCACAACCGGCTTTTTAATTCAACAGTTTTCTAGTTATTTGAGGACCATTAACTTTTAATAAGATGTCCATTAGTAGAGGTTAAATGGGTGGGAGAGGACACACTGTTCTCTCTCTGTGTGTGTGTGTGTGTGTGTTTAGCTTGTGTGTATGCTTGTGTGTGTGTGCGTGTATGTTGTTTGCTTGTTTTGTTCGGCCCCATGGAAAATATATGATGACATTGTCCATTTGTTTGCTGTTTGCTCTCTCGCTCTCTCTCTCTGGCTGTCTTGCGTTTTGTTCTCATTAAGTTGAGAATAAAACCTTATAAACTAGATTTCTTGCAAAGGTTTGGAAGCTTGGTTAAAGAGATGCAAAAAGCAGGATAGGTTACTGACATACTGAATAACAACCAGAAGATATGATATGTGGTAGAATCTCAGAGGAAAAGCTTGCTAAAAGAAAAGGTGTGACACATCCATACACTCACGACCGTTCACTGGTGTATTGTGTGACTCTCAAGGTAACAGTGCTTCCACATGACCAACCACACTGTATGAGTCATTTGTTTTCATTGTGCGGAGCAGCAGCCCTGCTCCACTCCATTAGCTCCACTGCTTATCCTCTGGGGTCGCAGCAGGAGTCAGTCCCACCTACAGCAGCACCTCTTCAAGTGACATTACAATTAAGGAGGCAAGTAGCACATTCTGTTTGAAATGTCATCATGGGACACAAATAGTGTTTAGGGCTGATCTCACACAACTGTGACTGTTAATTTCAAATTAGGACAATAATTACTTAGGCCTGATAGTGATAATAATATTTCTTTTCTGGTTGAGGAGACATGACACATAGCGGTGGTAAGAGTAAAATATTAATAGGTTCCATTCAGCAGGAAGTCCTGGACGCAGCAGGAGAAGCAAGAGTAAGAGCATGAAAGAGAATACAACAAATAAATAATAATCAGCTGGTTCCACATTAACCTGCATTACAAATATGTTCAGTTGCATTTGCTTACTTTTCATGTCCTGGAACAAGCCAACAAATTCCTGAAGGAGATTTACAAACTCACCAGCGTAGTCAGGCGACATGGCAGACGACATGGAAGACGTTTGTTCTTGCAGAGGAGGAAAATGCACAGTGACTGAATACAACACACAATTTCACTCCACTTCACAGCAGCAACACGGCCCCCTTTTGAAGTCTCCTTCTGAATGAGCTTTCAGCTTCTCATCTCTCTCTGCACATTAACAGGCCTGCAGCCCCACTGTCTCTGTCAGAATACAGTCAACAATCTCAGATGAAAAGTATCTATTATATGTCTTACTGTTCCAACCTGATCATCATTTGTCTTAATGGCAGAAAAAAACATTTGTTG